GTCCGCCGCCGCCGGGCCCCTGAAACAGCGGATCGTCAAACGTGGGGTGCATGCCGCCGCCCATGCCGCCTGGTCTCGGCAGTCCACCGCCGGGCACAAAGGAACCCCTCAGGGGGTCGTGCGGTCCAAGTCCGGGAGGGTGAAGGTCGTCGTGCCCGATGTTGAAAGGCGAGCGTCCGTCGCCGGGCATGCGTAGTGGTCCGCGTGGTGGCCTGTTGATCTCGAACTCATCCTCAAAGTCGGGAGGCGCAAACTCCCCCGCTGGCACCGGCCTCCGCGGTGGTGCCGCGAGGGGATCATCAAAGGGGTATGGACGCGCAGGCTCTGGTAGTTGGGGCGGAGTCGGGCGTGGGTTGCTCGGGCCTTCCCGGCCCTGTCGGTCCGCGTCTTGACGCGCTGCTCTGTCGTCGGGGTTCGAGTCCTCATATCCCTCCTTCTGCAGGCCGGGAATGAGCTTCTGGATGATGGTCATCTTGAGGAGGGCCGCCAGGTCGGCCAGCCGCTCCGCGGAAATGAAGACGTTTTGGAGTTTTGATACGAGGTCAGTGCGATCCTCGTTGCCATCGGCGTCGAGGGTGATGCGCAGCGGAAGCGCTGAGCTGGAAACATAGTCTCTCGGGGTGACCTCGAGTCTCACGATGCGCTCGTCGCCCACCGCAAGCCCGCGAATCTCAGCCTTGCCTCCCATGCGGTCTATCTTGATGACAAATTGCATGGAGGACTGAGTGTGTGCGTAGAGAAAGGAGTATGAAGAGACAGAGGCATTCCATCTTGGTGGAAGACGGGGCGCCAGTGCCTGGCACTCTGGCTCTGGGGCTCAAGTCAGCTCAAGCACACCGGGGTTGGTTACAAGGATGGGGGGGGGGCTCTGGGGGGCTCTGGGTACCGTTCTTCTGGTCCTCGTTGAAGCCTAGCAGTCGGAAGCCAAGCTTGATCATGCAGGAATGTGTGAAGAGGGCAATGGCCTCTGCAGAGCTGCTCATGTCTGATGTGGAGTCGTCCTTTTGGTGGGTAGGCAGGGCATCTGCCATGCCCTGCAGGACATTCTGCGGGCTGAGAGGGTTGGACACCATATCGTTGTTTGTCTGGGTTCCGATCGAAAGTGGTCACAAGAAGCAGGCCGATGAAGCGGAATGAGGGAGCTTGGAAAGGTGTTGTCGTTAAAAGAGGGTCTGTTGGAACCTGGAAAGTTCAGGCCTTCGCCGTCGAGATGGGTCGAGACTTCCAAGGTTATTGAATTTATTAGTAGGACTCCAATCAAGAGCTGCCCTTAGCTGGTAGTAAGTGGTGGCGTCAGAGGGGTCTGCCTAAACGTAGGGCTGAGCTCAAGGGGAGCATCGAAGGCCAAGACCTGCGGGGAACGCTAGGCAGTGTAGCTCCCAGGGTGCTCATCAAAACATTTCCTATCATGTCGCTCTTATAACTATAGTGGAAGGTGGGCAGTGTTAAGAGGCCCTCTGGCTGGCGCAGGTTAGCAGTACAGCGTTGCGGCTTAATCCACCAGATTATAACCTCCCGTCTGGTGCTGCAGTTGATCTGCCTTGGCTGTGACAGCCCACTACAGATCCAATGCTGGCAAGCTCTAAAGTCACGACATACGGGACTTGTGGTCTGCAGTGTTCTAGTGTATACTCTCCCCTCGATGCCTCCGTTGATATTGTGCCAAGTCCCCACACTCCCACCTACCTACCTACCTATACAGGTAGGTACCTAGCACTGGTAAGCAGAGGGGCAGCATCCCTGGGCGGTCGGCAGGTGGGGTAGAACGGCTCGGATCATCTGCCCTGCCCGAGCTTATCTGCTGCCTTGATCGCCTGCTCTGCTCGTTGGGTCCTCGGCTGGCAATGACATGGATGACAACAGCCTCGATACGAAACGTGCACAGCTGACACAGGATCACCACGACTTTCTGCGGGGCCTTGGATTCCCTGTTGCAGAAGCTTGTCAGGCACTCCCTACACAAGGGCCAAGCTGTTGGCAACAAAAGGAGGAGAGAGACAACCGACCACCCGACCTGACCTGAATCCCTTCACCCCCACTGTCCCCCCTCCCCCTTCGAGACGTCGCCGCTCAACAAAGCCTCGTGCATGTCTCCTCCCTTCAACTCAGACGCCCCCAGCACCAGCTGCAGCTCCAGCAACCCACTTCCCCAGAAACATGAGTCGCATGCTGCCTCTGGCGAGGTGAAGAGCTCAATGGAGCCAAATCCCCCGGCTTCATCACATAATGACAACATGGCCCAGCCCAGCCCTGCTGTACCGGCCCCCAACCCCTCCGAGGACTTGATCTCCCTTGACGACCGCCCACAGCCTCCCACCACTGCCACACGGGCACCAGTCGGTGCCGTCGCGCAACAGGATGGGCAGTACCACGAAAAGAAGCCAGAGGACTGGCTAACACCAGGGGTGCCCCCAAAGACAGATGAGGGGTTGAATTCCTCTGTCGCAACTCTGAGGCCTGCGACGACCCCAACGACCACCATCGCCACTTCATACCTGAACGTCGAGACAAAGCCATACGTCGACCCTACACCATCTACGCCAACCGAATCCCAGCCTCCTTCGAGGACCCCCTCCAATGCTGCCGACCGACCTCGCTTGTCTCTCGACTCCTCACGAGGAGGGCGGTCCGATGACGAGAAACGGCGCACAAGCGAAGATGACCGCGAGAACGATGCTTCCGAGATCCAAACCATCATGGCCCAGTTTCGAGAGGGCGGCCCAGGCGAACAGGAGGTTATGAGTCCGCGGCTGGAGATTGCATCCCCTTTCTCGACCGGGCCTGTTCAACACCCTCCTCGGCACTCTAGTCTAGAACCCCTGAGCCCGAACATTGCCCAACAGTTGCAAGACATTCAAGGACTACGGCTCAACTCCACTTCACCAGCCAGCATGGCGTCGAAAGGGAAGGACCCGGACGATCAAGGCCCGCCTGTCCCTCCGAAAGACCCGTCCATCCGCTCTGGCAGGACCGGCCAGCTCATGGACGAAAGGGAGAGCATCGGGTCGCCCATGTCCCCAACAGTATCATTGCACCGACCGCCTCCACCAGAGCCCGAGCCCGAGTCGGCCCTACCTTTTGACTTTCACAGGTTCCTTGAACAGCTACGGAACAAGAAGGCAGACCCGGTTGCCAAGTACTTGCGATCATTTCTGAACGAGTTTGGAAAGCGGCAGTGGATGGTACATGAGCAGGTCAAGATTATCAGTGACTTCTTGGCTTTCATCGCAAACAAGATGGCCTTGTGTGAAGTGTGGAGGGACGTATCCGATGCCGAATTTGATAACGCCCGGGAAGGCATGGAGAAACTCGTCATGAACCGGCTTTACGCTCAGACTTTCTCACCAGCCATACCTCCACCTCAGCCGATACCCGGTGCCAAGCCACGGCGCAAGGGGGCGGAGCGACCGTTGGGACCTGGGCGGCGTGGCCAGCATCAAGAAGACGTCGAGCGCGACGAAGTGGTCGCCCAAAAGATCAAGATTTATGGCTGGGTGCGTGAAGAACATCTCGATATACCACCAGTCGGCGAAAGTGGGAAACGGTTCCTCAAACTCGCACAACAAGGTAGGCCTTCCTCTTTTCCACCCAAGCTTCCAGGCTATGGCTGACTTCGACAGAACTATTAAAAATCAAATCCTACCGAGCCCCGAGGGATAAAATCATATGCATTCTTAATTGCTGCAAGGTCATCTTCGGTAGGTCCATATATTTCTAGCCCGGTCACAATATGAGGTGCTCATCAGGTACAGGGCTTCTCAAGCACTCCAAGTCCGACTCGTCTGCGGACTCATTCATGCCGCTTCTCATATATGTCACGCTCCAGGCAAATCCAGAACACATAGTATCAAATGTCCAATACATCCTCAGATTCCGAAACCAAGAGAAGTTGGGAGGGGAAGCTGGCTACTACCTCTCATCACTGGTATGAAATGACTTTTACTGCTGTCATGTCATGGCTGCTAACATCGTCTCTTAGATGGGCGCTGTCCAATTCATTGAGAACATGGATCGCACGACGCTCACGATTTCAGACGAAGAATTTGAGAAGAACGTCGAGGCTGCGGTCTCTGCCATTGCCGAGAAGCATCGGCTAGAATCACCACCTACATCGGCTACCGCAGAGAAACCACCGCAGTCCCTCACTGGCATGGGTGAGTCCTCGTCAACCAGGCCATCGATGGACAATGACGCCGTAACCCGCTCGTCGTACACACCGCGCCACTCAACCTCCAATGATGACAGCGGGGAGTACGATGAGAAGGCTGCCATTACTGGTCTCCTTCGAACGATCCAGAGGCCGCTGTCCACAATTGGCAGAATGTTCTCCGACAATGATGAGCCAATGGCCGGTTCCTCAAGCGCGCCGGGACGCAGCCCCGCGCATACTCCACTTCCAGATGCGAGGCCAAACACAGGTCAAAGAGTTCCGAGCCATCAGAGCCGCTATACCGCGGAGGAGGCTGCGGCGAGGCAGGCCAGCGCTGAGGCGGCGGAGGCGCACAGGCTGCACAGGGCGGAACACGCCAATGTCGTAGAAACGCTGCAAGGCATGTTCCCCGACCTGGATAGGGACGTAATCAGCGACGTGGTCTACCAAAAGGAAGGACGGTATGTTAAACCCTACGTTACTCACCTTGTACGATTTACTGACAGTATCGATCGTACAGTGTTGGTCTGGCGGTGGATGCGTGTCTTGCATTGTCCGCATGAGCGTCTGGGACCAAGGTGAGATTGGGAAATTGGAATTGGCTCAAGGAGACCAACCGGGCGGAGATGATACCAGCATCAGCATTAGCGACATTTGAAGACAGACAGGCCCAAAAATATCCTGGATCTTGTACGATCCAAAGACGGCGGCGAGCGCAATCCCCGTCTGTCATAATCCTGCATTACCAAATATAACTGCGTGTCGGGACACACACACAACTGAATCCCCGAGAGATTGTGAGAAGATTGTGAGCTGTTGTGGAGGCCTACGGAGCCAAAAGCAAAAAGAATGCCTCCTGACGGAATCGAACCGTCGATCTTCGCATTACGAGTGCGACGCCTTACCGCTTGGCCAAGAAGGCTCGGAATTTGAGAATTGTAAGCTTATTTATGGTCCTGTTGAGAACCAGAGCCGCCTCTGGACAAAAGTATTCAGAATACCTACAATCGCCATTACTGGCTCTCCCAGACATACATCTGGCTCGCATGGCATGTGCCGAGCAGGCTACTTTGGATCATTTCTTACATGGACTTAAGAGTAATATATGCCGTCAGCATGCTATGTATGTCGGAAGTACTATTCAACTACTATTAGGTCTGGCCTCCGAGTAGACCATCGGCAAGGACACGGCGTCTATGAAGCAGCTCTATTGAAGTCTGGTTGTTAGCATTGACTTGGATCTAGCACTGCCTAGGTAGTAATGCCAGCTCAGCGAGGAAGAGACAAAATGTTCAATCGCATTGGTCTTGGCTTTTCTCGATTCAAGGATCTTCATTACATGGTTATGTATTTATAACAGCATTAGCCTGTCCTAGAAAAGAACATCTAAGCCCCCTGACAAACGAAATCATATGCCATGGGGTCTGCAAACCTCACAGCTGAAGTGGTGTTATAGCCCAGCAGGAGCAGCGTATCGGAGCTAGCCTGATACTTTGGCCAACCCATCACAGATGCGAGGCCATCTGACGGGTCAGCGGCAAAAGCAGCCCACGCCTTTTGCATAGTCTGTGTGAGCTTCACACCCTCGGCCGAAGGTACAATGCCACTAACGCCCTCTGTGTTGCCAACAATCATATTGATGTCTGACCCGTGGTAAGCTCCGCTGGTGTAGGGTGGGTCAGGCTGGTAGAAGAGTCGCAGGTTATCCCAGTCGGCCATGTACCGCGCGCGATAGCTCGTCAGGCCGAGCTCCGCCCGCCCACGTGCGTCCGCTGCCAGCGGGCAGGTGAACGTCTGCTGTTCAAACAGCGTCCAGTCGCTTTCAGGGAGCACTGTGCCCCTCGCCAACGCTGAGATCCTATAGAAGCCGGACTCGTGGTCGGTCTGCACCAGCAGGCTTGGGATACGTGCTAGGTTCCCCGAGGCAAGCCTCGAAACATACTCGGACCTTGGAAACACGGTGCGGTTGTCTTGGGTGATCTGGAAGGCTGGGAGAGCGCGACTTCCTGCGCCGGTCGTAGGCACACGGGCGGCGGCGGCAAGAATGGAGTCGATAGTGACATTGGGCGAGCGCATGCACTCGATGGTCGACTCTGAAGCACCACACCCAAGCGACCTCGTAACATTGTACCAGTTCCAGGCAGCTAGCTCGGCGCTGTTGCTGTCAAAGGAGAAGACGTTGCCGGAATGGGAGACAAGCCCCGAAACAATGGGGTCCTTGTATGAATATCCAGTCAGCGTCGAGAAGGTTCAACCTCGACTCCGTCTTCACGCGTGGCATTGTGAGGCCAAAGAGGGAGAGGGCATGGAAGCAAACGACTCACACCCTGGAAGGCATAAGGCCAGTTATTCACAGCCCAAGAGCCAGACGACTGTCCAGCAATTGTTATCCGAGAAGGGTCGCCGCCGAAGGCACCAATTTTGGCTTGGACCCACGATACGGCCAGGCGCTGATCTAAGAGGGCGAGGTTCTTGACCTCGAGCTCAGGTGCACCGGGAAAGCCGAATATGTTCATGCGAAAGTTGAATGTCACCACCACAACGTCCTGGGCATCCGCCAAAAACCCTCCATGATAGAATGGCGTATTGCTGGTTCCGGCCGAAAAACGGCCTCCATAAATCCAGACAAGTACAGGCTTCAGGCCGGCACCACCAGCGACATCTGTCCCGGGACCCTCAGCCGGCTTTGACCAGACATTCAATGTCAAGCAGTCTTCGCTCTGAGTATTATTGAGCGAGTTGACGAAGTTTGCGTAGACTCGAGCGTATTGGTCAGTCGCATTTGGATATGCAAACAACCTGGACTGGGTTTGAGGACAGTCGTAGCCCTGCGTTGAGACATCTGTCAGATCAACACTGTGCTCGTATTGTGTCACTACAGCGACTCACATATATGTCGGCGTCGAAGGTGCCATTCGATGAGGATGGCTTCACAGGTGGTGCAAATCTCAGGTCGCCGACCGGGGCTTGCGCGTACGGGATGCCAAGCCATTCACACACCGAAGTCTGATGGGTGCTGTGATGTCCACGGAAGTCCCCGTCCTCTGTATCCCTAGCGACGCAGTTGTAATCGAGTGACGCATATGCTACCGTTGCGCAGACTTGTGACGCGACACAGCCAAGTCGTCCAATGGTGCAACACCTCATCGTTTCGGTTGGCGCTCGTGGACTGCTGAAGAGCGAAAGCTGAACCCGCAGTCATTTCCCACCGCCGAATGAGGAGTTCGGTCTATTCACCTGAGGCCAAGGCGAGGAGATTCGGTGCTATCAATAATTCCCGTGGAGGGCATGGAATAAATCACTAGCTGCTCACCCTGGCACTCGGCATACTAGGGCCGGCATCCGGACTTCAGATTACTGCGAATACACCTGTTGATAGTGGGGTCTTCTACACCTACTCAACACGAGAGGGTGCCCTGTTAGCTCGCCCTATACGAAATACATATTCGCAGATGTGCGTTTGATATGCCACGATACTCGAGAGGACTTTCAGTGAGAGGCATCAATGTATAATACAGCACCAACCAGGCTTTGAGTACATCCTGTACTTTTTGCACGCAACGTGACAAGTTACGTCCGTTTCCGCATGCGTGGAAAAGGAGGGGTTACACCCGATCTCGTGATGCGATGGTAGACAAATTAGAGTAACATTTGTAAACAAAATGCTGTCTCTCAACCAGACATTCAACGTCAGTCTGTCGTGCAGGCTGCTTCGACGCTAGGGGCGAAACCTGGATTGGAATACGAACGAACTTCTCGTGCTCACTCAGCGCGGCTACACTGAGCAGCAGGAAGACCTCATCACGCTACGTGCTTCTGCCTGGGTATGCAGCTATTAATTGAGACCGCGAAATAATATAAATACGCCCTCCCCTAAGCCATGGAAAGCACCATTGAAGGTTCATAGACTCATCACCAGCAGTGCGCCTAAACCATCCTCGAAAAACATTACACTCGCCTGTCAACCGAATTCATCCTCATTCATTTTCGAAAATGAAGTCCTCACTCGTTTCTGCTATGGCCCTTCTTGCGGTTGCTTCTGCAAACCCCATCAAGCAGCGAGCCATAGCCCAAGAATTCGATGTGTCCGAATTCAGTGCCGGCTGTATTCCTCACGGCACTCTTTGCAGGTAACTACGAGCTGGTCTCTTCTCCTGCTTGCTTTTTCTCGAGTAGCTACATTCACAGTCCATGTTCTGTGTGCATGTAGGCAGACCAGTCGCCAAGGAAAAGGGAAACAAACGGGGCCGACAGCAAGCGGACGGGAGTGTTGAGGCTGCCAGCTAACACAATTTGTTCTCAGCTTCAGCTTCAACGTCGCCACCGACTTGATGCCTGCCCCGACTAATTGCAACGCCTCGTTCACCACCGCCTACACTCTTCCTGATGTTCCCTTCACCGCTTGTGCGGACCCGTCTATTTCCTGGTCCTTTAGTGCCATCGAGTCCGGGGAGAACTACACTCTGATCCTCGTTGATGCTCAGCAGGGCCTCGCCGCTTCCAAGGTTTGGGACAAGGCCGATTTCCCTGTTATAAACGCCGGTTCGACGGTTTACCAGCAGTACAGTGGCGATTCCAGCTTTGTTGTCCAGTACTAAGAGCATCATGCTTTGATAGAGTTAGGGTGTTTCTAGAGGGGTCGAGGGGGTGTGTGTGTTTTCTTTTTGGCGGGGGGGGGGGGGCTGGCAGCACGCGGTGGAAGTCTTCGGTTGAGCGGACAAAACTCTGAGTATTGCAATAATACTGCGCTCTACCTGAAGCTGAGGACAACAGTTCTTTAATGTATCATTGTGAAGTCAAATCCTGGGCCCTTTAAACAGTGATATGATCTATCCATTCACATAGATAGCTTCACCGTGAATTGGCCCGGGACAAATTTGTTAGATACAAAGTCTGCTGCTGTAATAACTACTTTTGACTGGACATTGATTAAAAATGAAGCCTTGACAGCTGCTTAAATACTCTGACTAGCATAACTGTTTCCGTCTCCTCTCCCCCAGGGCAGCCTTCTAGGATACAGACACAGCCTCGCCATCTAACAGTATAATGTTTTAACACATCAGAATATTGATGATTTGCTGGTCTAATCTGTCACTGAGCATCTGCGGTCACAGTGAGATACGGCTTCAAATTAAGCTGACTCACTCACTGTCTTGCAGCAAGCATATTATAAAAGCCATACGAGCATTAGCATATTTGGCGAACCTTTCGCTTTTGAGACTACGACTACTCCAAGTCAATCATCTTAATCTGTCTCCGTCCTGGCCTCAAAAAAAAAGTGTCAGTTACAGATATGAAATACAACGCTAGACAAAAACCATACCGAGGTGTCGTTTATCAATCGCCTTCTCTCGCCTCATCGCGCACTCATCCCTCTCCATACCTTAACCCGATACCTAAGATTCCCCCGTCCAGGGCCCCTCATCCAGGCGGTACTCAGCGCTCTCTCAATCAGCCGCTGTACGTCAATTCGGATACAACAGGACTGTCTGCCACTGATAGAACTACTCCAGTTCTTACCGAAAGCTCTTCGGATCAAATTGTACCTTCTGAAATCTCTTCAAGGTACGAACCACAGAGACAGCCACGTGTATGGAGCCTGAAGAATGGCAGAGTCATGATATCAGTCCAAACATGGCTGATTTCCTCACCGATGCCGAATTGTACGCTTTTGACGCTTAACCCTGTGAATTTGACTGACATGTGTGTCTTTCTCTAGGGCGTTTGCGCTTCAGGAGGAAGAAGTGGCCCAGCTCAGCAACCCAAGTATACTGAAATCAAGGCCGTCTACACCGTTATCACACGTAACGGAAGTGCGTAATGACCTAGGAGTAGCGGATCTGGCTAAAGAGTGCCAGATCTGCAACGAAGAGAAGCACACCGATTTATACCCGCAGACCACAGCAGAAAGCGAGTGCAGAT